TCAAATATACAATACGCATGCCTTCTTTTTTGCTTTTAGGCTAAGCTCTTAACTTTCTCACAGCGCTACGTTAACACAATACTCGACATCTTTGTAATGACTAACGGCAAGGAGATATAAATTAATATATATTTGCCTCACCCACAAAATGAAAACCAGAAGAAATATTGTTTGATGCGAGAAAAAAGTTTTTCTATGTAGAAGCAAATCCAAAGATTAGTCTAACCTACTTTTTCTTGTTCACATAACAAATTATACAGTAAAATTAGTTGCAACTTTGGTCTTCTTGATATATACAAAAATTTTAATACCGTTGAAAGAGGAAGTGAAATTGATACGAAGTTTAAGAAAAAAAAAATGTCCGAAAAAGTAGATATAATGGCTACAGAGAATACCTCAATATGTAACATCTATTGTAACAGAAAACCTATCTAATATTATTTATTATAAAAAGAAGAAAAAGAACCCCCCGAGAACGTAAAACAAATGCTTTTTATTCCATTGCCTTGACAATGGATGTTGATCCATTGGGCGGTAGATGCTCCTCTCGCCATGGACCGTTGTCACTTAGTTGGCAACTACCTTCACAGTTACAAGCACCGCCAAAAGAAACGGGTAGGTTTTCGGCGGGAATATTTTCCAATAATGTAGCCTGATATTTCGAACCTAGAATCGTAATTTTTGAAGCAGTGACCTCATCCAAGAGAGGTTTAACCAAACTCCACACAGAAGAAAAGAGCATTGGCGCATTAATAATATAAAATTTTCCCATGCGTTCTGGATAATAGTTTTGTCCAATGTTAGACGCTTGTTTGACGAAACTGAATACGTTCGAAAAAGAACGCAAAGAAACGCCCTTAAGGTCTAAGATGGTACACGAGGTTTCGGTGAGTCTACCATATTTTTCCGAGCAAGCTGGAAGTCTAATATCTGCAAGCCTCTCATATTCGACGACTAAGTTTTGAATTTGACGTTCAAGGGTGGTGATTTGATACAGAGCCTTGACATCAACCCTACCGATTTCTTCAATGTATATAGGGCGTCCTTCTTTGTCCGTTTTGTGGTAATATCGAGGGTAATGTTTCATCACTTCATCTCGTTCCTTATAATCAAAACTTTTAACTAACTCGTCGACACCAAATTCTTTACGCCATTTTTCGCAATCGAGAAACATTTTTTTAGATCTATTGATGTCAAACTTTCTAGCACGCAGAAAACGGAGTAGACAGGCGTCATCATGGCGTCTTTCGTCGAAAACACCCTCGTCTTTAATTTCTTTGCGAAACCTTTCCAGGATTTCAGCTTGCTGAGGGCTCAAACTACCAAGACGCCCAGTGAATTTTTGAGACTCTTCGGAGGTTGCAGGCGGCATCTTTTTTTAAAGATTGTCAAATAATATAAAGTATTTATGATAGTAGCTTTCTTTGACTCGATAAGGAGTGACTTTACTCAGAACCGAAATCTTTGAATGAATAATGTAAAGAGTGAATAAATAGGGTTCAGGTCCTAATGAAAGAGAAATTGACTAAAAAGTGGCTGTGATATCCTTTCAGGTAACTGGTGCTTATTTATATACTGTGCGCCCACATCCTTGTTAATGCAACAAAAGCCAAATCGGTTAATTATATAAGGTCACCTTTTGTGCATTATTTAATTGGAGTTACTATACAATACGTTAATAAATTTTCCGATATTGATTAGCACTATAATAAAGAATTCTGGCTTTGCGCGGATGGACGATAAACATTAATCAATGGTAAATAAACTGTAAGGATGTTGTTTGATCCAAAGAAAATCAAAGTCACCCCTAACAACACTCCGACCAATTTACCTTTCAAGCACACAAAAGATCTATTATTAGTATATGCTTATTATTGTTTATATGACTTATTTATAAGATGCATCTAACTTCATATAAATGATAACATTTTTCTTTGATGTGCATTAAGAATCACCTTCTTTGGTTCGTCTCTATCTCGTGCTTGTTTTTGTGATAAAAAAAGAATTTCCATGCATACGTAATCGCAGCTGAAACTGTGGTTCAGTAATAACATGCATCTTGTAGAAAAATACTGTGTGAATTGTTGATATCGAGCGATGCCTGTGAGAAAGTTAAGAGCTTAGCCTAAAAGCAAAAAAGAAGGCATGCGTATTGTATATTTGATTATTTTTTTCAAGAATTTACTGATAAAATTGTTATACAATTTTTACGTCAGTTCCTTGGTATATATATAGTATATGCTGTATATGGGTTAATTAATTCCCCTTGAAAGCAACGAAGTTTTCAGGATTATAACTTGAAACAGTACAAATTCAGAAGTTTTACTTTTATTCTCCTTACATAGTATAATTTTATTTTTTCCTTGTAAATTATATAATATGAAATTAAAATGATTAATCGCGATTTTTGTTTTTACTTTTTGTGGAATGAGTAAAAAGGCTTCTTGCTTTTGTTTTTTTTTTAAATAAAATTATTTTACAATTTGAAATATAAAGAATTTAAATTTATAACCCATTTTTTTAAAAAATTTTTATATTTAAAAAAGTTATAATTTAAAAAATGTATATTAAAATTCAATATAATAGCAATTAATAATTTTTTTATTTACAGTATAACAATTTAATTTTAATATTTAATAAAATTATAATAATAATTATAAAATTTAACAAAATTATTTAATTTTATATTTTATATTTTAACAAAATTAAAAAATTATAATTTATAAAAATTTAATTGAACAAAAAATTCTAAAAATTTTTAAATTAAAGAATTTTAAAAAACTTATAATTTAATATTTTTTATATTAAATTATATAGTAAACTGATAAAAACTATATTTTATATAAAAAAACTCTCTCCTGATCATGTCCGTTTTGTTAAAAAATTTCCTTTTATGGTAATTTTAAGCAAGAAAAAATGTTTTACTCTTTTTATCGCAAGTGAGCCCTAGCTCAGGAACTCAAGAATCTTCAAGACAACTGGTACAGTGGGATGGGACCTCTGGTCAAAGTCTATTCAAGTTTGGGAGTCTTGCTTATTCTTCGATTGTATGAGAAAAGGCCTGTGGCAGTTCTCTTTTCTTCAGTTCTCTTGCATCCCTCCTTACCCTTATTCTATTATAAAAATTATCCACATCATTACCATCATACTCGCTAAGCCAAATACTTTTCAAAACACACACTCAAACAGAGTTAGTGAGTCTACTGTTTGTTTCAAGTCAACCCTTATACACAATATTCTTGCAGCAATATTTGCTGTGCCACTTTCATTCGTCAAAAATTTCTTACTCAAAAAACCAAAATCAGTTTACCCCCTTTAGATGATCAGCACTTTTCAATCATCCAATTAGATTTTGTCTAATGATTAAAACAAAAACTAAACAAGCTCCAACCGGTTTTGTATTATAACAATGATCATAACAACAACAACAAATAACCCACCACCAATGACCATAACAACAAATAACATCACGTATATTCTATTACCTATAGCATGCGGGGAGCCGGAGAGTTGAGATCACGAGCCCACCAAGGAGTTCTTTCGTTTAACGCATAGATTATATAATATATTTAATTTAGTTCTAGTTATAGTCAATTTTATTTTTCTTTTCAATTTTTTACATTTAAAAAATCAAAAGAATTCACAAAATTTCCTGGGATGGTAGGCATAGCCGCTACTCAGCCTTATCTAGCACATTAATATTGATTTTGAATTTTTTTACGATATTAGTTAGATATTGATAAGTAGGCAAGCTAGCATTTAACTCTTCTGAAATAATAAGAGAGATGTTGTTTCTTTC